GCTCCCTAGATCTTATCTGGGAAGCTAATGGGCTGAGGGAAGTGCAGCAAGAACAAAAACAAGTGAAACTCACAAGAACGGTGTAACTATGGAAACCACTACCTTGTTTACCTCTGAAGGCTCAGCTTGCCTCAAGATCTTTCTCTCTGGCCTCAGCCAGGCACAGGAAGATCCACGGAGACTAAAGAGAGCTAGAGAGTTCTGAACGCTGTCTCCGTGTAAAACATTCTTCGCCGATTCCGTCCACACCTTTGGGAACCCCGGGACCGCTGGGGCTGGACCCTGGCAGCTTCAGAACAACGGTGTGGGGTGACAGGGACCCTCTGGTACCGAACCTCAGAATCCCAGGGCTGGAAGGGAGTGTGTGGTGAGGCCCAGCCAGCAGCCCCTGGAGGAGCTGCGATCCAGAGAGTCCCCAGCTGTGCCAGGACCAGGCCGTGCACTGCAGAAAGCACACACATCAGAGAGTCAGACAGGCGTTCACTCCGGCTCCCCCATGACCTGGGATGTCCAACCAGTCTAGGACCTGCCTTCCTCATACAGGTTGTTTTGTGGGAGTTCAATGAGGCAGTGTCTTAGAAACAACATGAACGACAAAGCTTAATAGTGTAAGAGTTAATAGCATGAGTGCAGGCAAAAGACAGATGTGGTTTCAGTTCTGCCCCTGCCACTCAAAGCCTGTGACTGCCAGGAAGCAGGTATAAGACCCAGAGCCCCACTGCACGGTGGGCAAGCCGAGGGCATGTGGCCTGTGGAGAGGGAACCCCAGGGAGTCTGTACGTCTGGGGCTGGGGGTGGCGTGGGAAGGGAGCTCCCAGGTCAGCACTGGAGGGGTCTTCAGAGGGTGTGGATCTGGGGCTTAGTGGATGTCTCCCCTCTCCTTTCCCCTCGTGCACAGACCAGACCCACCCATCCCCATTGGTGCCCTGCTAGGTCAGCCATCGAAGCAGCAAAACCCTCTTCATGTGTTACTAGTGGCCCAGCACACTAAAGAGACACTGAGGAGGATGCCTCTCCCGTCTTACTAGCATGTCTTTTAATACCAACAGACTCAGGAAATTCCTGGAAACAAAAACCGACGTGGAAATCTCCGCACAGCCTGCCTTGGAGGACCAGACCTTGGACTTCTCTGACGTGGAGCAGCTGCTGGGCTCCATCAACACCATCCCAGGTGCTCATCTCCCCCGGGCGGGGCGTCCCAGCACCTCCGGGTTCCCTGAGCGTTGAGGTAGAAACATGGATGGCTAGAAATAACACGAAGACTTAGAAAAGTATTTTCCCCCCTAGCTTCATGTTTCTGTCTTCATGGCTCCTAAGGGTGAGAACAGAGGCTGACCTCCCCAGCTGAGTGCCCACCCTCACTCTCCGAGTGCCAACACCTGGCTCAGGGAAGCCTCGAAGTAGTTTCCATCGTAGCTTGCCCCACTTCATCAAAACCTTCACCAAACAAGGAGCCTGAATTTTATTTCCGTAACCAGCATAGAGGTTAGGAGATGAGCTTTGGAATCCTATGGAGTGGGCAAGAAGCCCAAGCTTGCCACTTCCTAGCTGTGTAACCCTAGACAACTTACCTAACCACTCTGAACCTTGGTTTCCTTGTCTGTAAAATGGGCGTGATAATGCCTCATGGGGACAGGGTGAGAATTAAATGAGGTCCTATATGTACAGCACGTCACGTGGTGCCAGGTAGCTCTCAAAACTATTACTTGTAATTACTTCTGAGGCTAGTACTAGAATTCAGCTTTTTTGATGGCTCACCTTCCCTCCTTACCAACACCAGCAACATTGTGAACAATATTGTATATCTCCTTTTAGGTGTGTTTTTTACACAGATTTTTTAAAGATAAAAATGGAGTCATTCTGCGTTGTAATCTGCTCTTCCTAGCAAAATAATTATGATGCATATTCTCTCTCAGTGATAAGGGATACATTTTTCTGCAACATCATCTTTAAAAACATGTTTGTTTAATTCTCAGCTGTTGGATGTTGGATGTTTCTAGGTTTTTCTGCCACCATAAACCGGAATACCGGCCCTCAGTCATAAGTCTCGGGGCCATTCTTAGACTCACAGGGGCAGCACTACTGAGTCCTGCTGTCCCGCCCCTCCGGGTGGTATGGAAGGGGCAGAGGACCACATGTAGGGCAGGACTTGCAAACCATACGCCAGCCTGAGTCCCTGTCACGACCCCTCCTTCCCGGGCCCGTGCGGGTTTGTCGAAGCAGGAAGGGACACGCTGGCTGTGGCCTGCAGCTCCTGGTTGGGAGGTTTGGCCTCTCATCCTTGTCCACTCTGGGCTCCCTCGTCCATTTCCTGAGCCCATGGGAGCCCATGGTGGGATCAGTGGTCCTGAGAAGGAACCGCCCCATCCCATCTACGTAGGCCCCCTCACCAGTGTTGGTTTTTCTCCCTTCTCCTTTTCTAGCTCCTTCTGCCCCGGTGATAAACCCGCAGGCCCCCAACTCAGCCACGGGTTCGTCCGTCCGCGTCTGCTGGAGCTTGTACTCTGATGACACCGTGGAGAGCTACCAGCTGTCCTACCGGCCAGTGCGGGACGGCTCGCCTGGGACGGACCACGCAGGTGAGGCTCTGCTGGGAGCAGCCACGCTCCAGATGGCCCCCCCCCTCAGGGGCCTGGCCCTGCCTTCCTGGCAGTCGGGGGAGGGGAGGGGATGAATCTGCTCACCCAGCCCTGGAGCGGTTGCCATCTGGGAACTACCCAGAGGCTGTGATGCCGGCAGGTGAGCAGGTAGAAAGGGCTCTAAAGGCAAGTCGGGGCCTGACTGGGGGACCACGGTCCAGGCTGACGTGTCTGGAGGGCATCTGCACGGTGCGGTCAGCATTGTCCTCGGGACAAGGCTCTGGCTGCACTGTGTGCAGGAGGTGGGGCACCCCTGCTGGAGGAGGCCCAGCTGGGCTGGCGGGTCCCAGCAGGGCCTGGCCTGTGAGGGCGGCTGGCTATCCTTGGAGCAGCCCTGTGTGGGAGAACTGGAGACCCCCATTCAAGGGGGAACCAGCTCCTGGGATGATCTCTACTGTGGGCAGCTCTTTTTTTTTTTTTTTTTTTAGATATTTTTATTAATTTCAGAGAGGAAGGGAGAGGGAGAGAGAGAAACATCAATGATGAGAGAGAATCATTGATTGGCTGCCTCCTGCACACTCCCTACTGGGGATCGAGCCCACAACCCCGGCATGTGCCCTTGACCAGAATTGAACCTAGGACCCTTCAGTCCGCAGGCTGATGCTCTATCCACTGAGCCAAACCAGCTAGGGCTGTGGGCAGCTCTTGATCCAGCCTCTTCCCAGAGAAATGGAACAGACTGATGTGAGCAGAGGATTGGGTAGCTGCCTCCCCTGCACCCTCCCCCTGTAATAGACAAGCCATTTCCTGCTGAGCGGAGAGGGTCAGGCAACAGAGGAGGCCCCGCTAAGCCTCTGAAGGAATCGGATCGGCCAGCCTGGCAGGGATTGTCCTATGTACATGGGGTCAGAGTGAGAATGTGGGAAAGGGACTTGGAGACACCCATTTTGTGGATAAAGAAACTGAGACCCAGAGAGAAATGTCCATGGAGACAGCGTGAGTTATAGTGGCACCAGGATGAGAATCCGGTCCCCAGGCTCCTGCCCAGAGCTCTGGTCATTGTGCAGGGGAGGGTCCTGAGTGCCGAAGGAGAGGAGGGTTCTGCCCAGGGACCAGGAAAGGAGGGGCATTCTTGAGAAAAGTAAGAGTGAGTTTGAGCAGTGATGAGGGAGGGCACAATGAATAGGAACCACTGGCCTGTTTTAGGGTTGAATTCTTTTTTCTTTTCTTTCCAGAGTCTACAGTGACCGTCAAGGAGACATACTGCTCAGTGGCAAACCTTGTGCCAAATACTCAGTATGAGTTTCGGGTCACAGCTCAGAACAGGGCTGGTCTCAGCCCCGCCAGCGAGTGTGCAGTGTACATGACAGGTACCGGAGCCCTTGTTCCTTTGAGGCACACAGGGGTCACGGCTTCCTTGGTGTGGCGGGATCTTGATTTCATCTGGATGTACGTGGGTAGCTGTGTATTTTTTTCCTTTTATCTAATACACCAAATCCACATGCCCGATACGGCAGGGACATTTCCTCGTAGTTGGTCTCAAAAGGTCAAAAAGCACTGCTTCACCCTGACCGGTATGGCTCAGTGGATAGAGCGTCAGCCTGCGGACTGAAGGGTCCCAGGTTCGATTCCGATCAAGGGCATGTACCTTGGTTGCGGGCATATCCCCAGTGGGGGGTGTGCAGGAGGCAGCTGATCGATGTTCCTCTCATCGATGTTTCAAGCACTCTATCCCTCTCCCTTTCCCTTCCTGTCTATAAAAAAAATCAATAAAACATATTTAAAAAAAAAAAAAAACATTGCTGCTCTCAGTCACAGGGCCGGTTGAACCTCGAAGCCCTCCTCCAGGCCTGGTCCACCCAAAGGGATTCCTGGTGCCTGTTCCGGCTGCTGTAACAGAACTACAGACCGGCGGGCGGCTTAGAAACCCAGACTCTGACCTCTCACACTCTGAGATGGGAGTTCCCGTCCTGGTCCATAGGCAGCTGCGTCCTCTGTGAGGAAAGGGGCAAAGGAGCTCTTTTGTTCTCTTCTATAATAACCCCATAACCCCTCCAACTTCATGACAACCCCTCCCCCCAAGACTCCAGATGCCATCACACTGGGGAGGTTTCAGCACATGAATTTGCTGAAATTCACACAGTCTACGGCACCTGGTTTGCTTTTCATTGTCCTGAATGTCCTGTGGAAAGTGTGGTTGTGATGCTGTCCGTGCTCTGGACCAGGCGACTGGGTGTGAACAGAACGGTGGTTCACCTCTCCCTTTCCTTGCGTTTAGCACCTTCTCCCCCCGTTATAAAGAGCAAAGAGGTGAGGAGCTGTGAGGAGGCTGCGCTGATTTGCTGGGAGTCTGGGAACCTGAATCCTGTGGACTCGTACACGGTGGAGCTGATCCAGGCGGAGACGCCGGGAGCCTCGGGCGTGACTGAGTGAGTCCCGAGGGGCATTTGCTGGGGCACAAGAGGTCTCGCCCCTGACACAGCCCAGGAAATGTGAGGAGTCTGCAGAGGAGGTCAGAATTGGTGACCCTCGGAATGTGCTTAGTGTTCGTGAGAAGTCGCAGGAATGCTTTACTGAAGGTGAACGATGAGTGAACGATAAGTGAATAAGTAGTTGAACATCAGGTTTGCTTTTGTAGCCCAAAGGTTTACCATTCATTCATTCAACAAGTATACGGGCCCAGGTGGTGCCCGGGCCCTGCCCTTAAGGAGCTAGCAGTCGGGAGGAGGGGAGGGGGGGTGAAACAGACAAGAAACAAAACAAATGCATGAAATGTTCTCTGATGAGAAAAGACTGTAGTGAAACAGGAATGGGTGGAGGTGGGAAACGCCTCAGGATCCAGCGGATGTTTAAACTGAGACCTGAGGGAGGGGAGGGTCAGGGTCTGAGAACCATGGATGCCAGGACGCTCCTGGGAGGCAGCCACACGGCTCAGTGTGAGGTGGAGCTAAAACCCACCTTGAGGGTGGAAAAGGGAGAGGAGGACGGCAGGAGGCAGACTCAGGTTAGAGTGCAGTGTACGGAGAACACGGTGTCCGCGGTGGGAGGCTGTGTGGGAACCAGGGGTTCCCTGGTTCGAAACGGGGGCCTGAGCTTCGCGCAGGGGCAGTATCGTAGCCAATGAGGTTTATCCGAGGCATGCGTATTGCTAATTGAAACCTTTTCCCAATACCCCGCATGACTACTTGGTAGTTGGCACTGGCGATTTTTGACGGTCTCTACGGAGACTAAGAAAAAAGAAAGAGGGGCCTGGTGCGTGGGCTCGCGGTGATGCGGCTCTGCTTCCTTGCCCAGGTCTGTTGTGGGCATCCCCACCTGCGAGTCCCTGGTGCAGCTGCAGCCCCGGCAGAGCTACAGGATCTACGTGCGTGCCCTCAACGTGGGGGGCCCCAGCGCAAGAAGCGAGCCCGCCACAGTGCACACCCCAGGCCTGTAAACGCCCCCGCCACACTCTGGGACCCGCAGTGGCCACATGGCAGACCCAGTGCTGCTGAGACTTCACGGGAAAATAAACACAGGCTCACAGACGGGAACGCGTGGCAAGCCAGGCTGGGAGGGGCTCGGGGGTCAGAGCCCCGCGGCCTCACCTTACAGGTGGGAGACTGAGGCCTGAGTCACACAGCAGTTTTTGCCTGAGCAAGAACTCCAGGATTCCCCCACGCCCTTCAGGTGGGCTAGAGCCTGTCACACTGGACCTGGGTGGCCCAGACACCTCCTGTCTCTCAGCCTGAATACCACCCGGGGGCGGGTCTGTATGAAATTCCAGGAGGAGCCCTTTGCTGTGGTGCATCTCCCCACCCTCAGGCCCACTTAAACCTGGCCATCCACCTCCTCCCAGGCCCTCTCTGGCCCTGGTGGGTGCCCACATCCCCAAGTCCAGCCCCTCCCCCTTCTCACTTGCCATCATCATGTCGTCGAATTGTCACATCTCATGTCCAAGTCTTGAGTCAGCGGGACAGCCAGCACTGGAAACATTCTGGGCACGGCTGTCCCTCACTGCTGCGCTTTGCACTCCTCCCGTCCCTCCCCGAGCAGGTCCAGCTCAGGCGGTTGGTCATGTGCCTGTGAGAAGCAGAAGCAGGGAGCCGGGGCTCAGGAGACAATGTTCCCTCCACCGGGATCTGTCACTGAGGGACACTGGGTCATTTTGTCCTCTTCTCAGTGCCAGGAGGAGAGGTCTGTGATTAGTCCCCACTGACAGTCCTTCTAGTCCTTCCATAGATGGGAAGACAAGTTAAGTGGCTGCCTGAGGTGAGAGGTGTCCGTGTTTTCATTTCTGTTGTGCTGGGGCCTCCTTGGCTTGGTGTGCCCCTTGGATTTCCGGCTCTGAGTTCCTGTTTTGAAATGTCAAACTCTGGCTATTGCAGTAAAAGAGAGCAGAGTGAAGGGTACAGCCAGCTCTGATCATAAAGTTGTCTCTGAATTAATGTGTTCAAATAATTTTTTAAGAATATGTTTGTGAAAAATTCAAAAGAACATGAGTCAGCAAAAAACACGGGTGCTTGAGGCTAGGGAGCAGGCTGTGAGGCCACGTGCGTGTCAGCTGCTGGGAGGACGTCTGCCTGCTTCTCGCCAGTCAGCTCAGACGGCAGGTGACGTTTCCAGCGGCATCGAATTGTGAAAGTAACTGAGGACAGCTTCATGGCGATGCTTGAACTGGGGTTTGAGATGATGAGAGGTGATAGGATGAGAAGTTAAGGAAAGAATTGGGCTGAGACGGTAATGGAGAATGAGCTGGACTGGCTCTGGGAGGGCTGGGAAGAGCCACCCGGCCAGTGCCCCGTGCAGAGCTCGGCACCCAGAGCCACAGCAGCGCAGGTACAGCAGACAGACAGGATGTCCCTAAGTAATGGATGTGTTTACTAAAATCTATCCTGTACCCCTCCTTGATGAGCTTCGTTTTCACTCTGATTTGGGGGTGGCTATACAGAACCCCACTGTTGTATTTGAAAGTTGGGTGTTGAATTTTGCTGACCTTTGTCCAACTGATCATTAAAAGTGCCCCCAATTCCTGTCTCCCTGTGTGTGAGAGATGCCCGTCCACACCCAGCATCCTCTGGAATCCGAGGGGCTCGGGGGTCAACCTTGAGTACCAGCATCTGCCAGCTGATTTCTTAACCGCCTTTGCCTCAGTTTTCCTATCTACAAATGGAAGTAATAACACCTGTTTCGAAGGGTAATTGTGGGGATTGAATGGGAGAAGACGTGCAAAGTGCTTAGATGAGTCACCGCCCAATACCTGGGCACTGCCATCCCCATTATGAGACTGGCACACGACCTACTGCGCTAACGGGAACCTCTGCTGTCCCCACTAGCACAAGGGTTATCACGTGAGGTCCAGGCGGAGGGAACACTCAGGAAGCTAAGTGGGCGATGTGCAGAGCTCCCTGGGCCCGTGTGGTGGTGATACAGAGAAAGGAGTGACTGGCTGCTGATACCCACCTGGGTTTGCTCCCCTACAGGCAGCTACTTCCGCCTCAACGAGCAGACCTGCCATCCCTGGCTGACCATTTCTGAAGACGGGCTGACAGCTGTCCGGAGCGAGAGGAAGACCCCCACAAGGGAGCCGCCCCCCAGCAGCACCCGCTTTACGAGGTAGGTCCCGTTTCCACCGCTCACTAGAGCGTTCTGTGCACCTCCCTAATATTCGCTGTTATTCAGTAAAATCGGATTAAGACAGATGCAGCTCTGAAGGGGGAAAGAAATCCCAGAAATAGGGGCTAGGGGCCTGGTGGTGAGGAGAGGCTGGTGGGGGCAGAAGGGACCTGTCGTGGCCTCTCAGGTCCTGCCCTGGGCTGCGGGCCCTGGAGGAGGCAGCCCACCAAGCCCTGGCACGAGGGTCACGCTGTCACCAGGCCGAGGGAGGAAGAAACCACCTCTAGCATCAGTCAGGCGAGCCTGGAGAGCTCAGGGTGTGCCACTTTACAGGTGAGGTGCTCACACCGCCTCCACTCGTATAGACCACCTGCTGGCTGACCCAGCAGTCAGTGCCACTCACCTGCACAGCCAGGCCTGGTCACCTCAATCACATGTATTTCCACTTTCTAAACCAGGTGCGTCGCGGTCATGGGAAACCTGATTCCGGTCCGAGGGCGCCACTACTGGGAGGTGGAGGTGGACGAGCGGTCGGACTACACAGTGGGTGTGGCCTTTGAAGACGTCCCTAAGCAGGAAGACCTGGGTGCTAACTGCCTGTCCTGGTGCATGAGGCACACGTGGGCGTCACCAAGGTAAAGCATTCTGGGTACCCGAGATCAGCATTGGCTTTTGAACGAATAGAGGGAGAGGTTTTCCCACACGGAGTAAGGCCTACAGTGCATGTTATAAAACAGCCTTAGACATTTCAGGGCTCACTGCCAGCCCTCTGACACGTCTGGGTTGTATTCTCAGTGTTCCTCCCAGTTGCGTGGACCAGCATGTTGGCACACAGAGCTCTTCAAACGTCTGCAGGTGGCAGGGCTAGGGGATCCCTGTGGCTGGTCTTGGTTTCAGCCGGTTTCAAAGCACATAGGATACGGCTGGAGCCGTGTCACACTGACTTGGTGACAGGCCCCCGGATGCCCTCTGTTTGAGTTTCAGAATTGGGTGCCTTAAAGCACTCGTGCTGAGTATACCTAAGGCCACGACATTCCCTGTTTCCAATCTCCTTATTACAAAGGAGTTTGAACCTCAAAACCCAACAGTTTAAAACATGTGCTATGTCTGTACAAATGTGGGTGCAATGTGAGCTTATAATACTGTACGTAAGTTTCTTAGGTGAAGAGGTTGCTCAAAAACAAAGTTTAAAATGTATGTTACTTAGAACTAATTTTAGAAAAGATATAGAGAATAGTTGTAGAAATGGCTTGTTACCTTGGTAGTCTTTAATAAAAAAATAAAACATAATCATAGGAGTATTTAAATAAAGCTGTGTAAAATGTTCTGAAAACAGCCCATCTACAGAATTTCTGAAAATTTGTTATGTATTTTAGACATAAGTATGAATTTCTGCACAACAAGATGACTCCAGATATAAGAATCACAGTTTCCCCAAAGAAGATTGGCATTCTGTTAGACTATGAAAACTCAAAATTATCATTTTTCAACGTGGACATTTCTCAGCATCTATACACATTTAGTTGTCAGCTTCACCAGTTTGTGCATCCCTGTTTTTCTTTGGAAAAGCCTGGGTGTCTGAAGATACACAACGGCATTTCAGTGCCAAAGCACGTCACTTTCTACTAGACCATGCTGGTGCCCTGCTCGCTGTCTTCTGTACCCACCCTCCCTCAGCCACTCCCGCCTCAGCAGTCAAGCACCATGCACCCAGCAGCACAGCTTGGACTCGTGTTGTTACCTGGCAGCCTGGTGTACTGGCACGCGCTTCCCTGACCTGGGTTTTGTCCTTTGACCTGTGTGATGCTATTAGTCATGACCAGGCCTGGCTGTAAAGTGAGGGCTCAGACTAAATAAACTCAGCAGTTCTTGAGTTTGTCAACTTGTGTTGGTCTGTGTTCATGCAAAGTATCTGAGTCTCTAAGGCCTACAGAGCTTGGGGGTTGGGGGAGAGATGCAGGAGTGTCAGTGGCTACAGCATCCCCAACTCACTCGTGACATTTCATTAGCCAAGAACAGACCAGAGAAGGCAGGTGTCCACAGAGAACTGGAAGCCGTGTGTCCTCTCCTGTTTTCCCAGTAGTTAGCACTGTGATGCGGTTTCTCCAAACTACACTCTTTATTTCCTTATTTTTTTATTTTTTAATATATTTTTTTATTCAGAGAGGAAGGGAGAGGAAGAGGGAGAGAAACATCGATGAATCATTGATCGGCTGCCCCCTACTGGGGATCGAGCCTGCAACCGGGCATGTGCCCTTGACCGGAATCGAACCTGGGACTCTTCATTCTGCAGGCCAACACTCTATCCATTGAGCCAAACCGGCCAGGGCTATTTTTTTTTTTAAATATATATTTTTATTGATTTCAGAGAGGAATGGAGAGGGAGAGAGAGATAGGAACATCAGTGATGAGAGAATAATCATTGATCTGCCTCCTGTATGACCCCTACTGGGGATCGAGCCCGCAACCCAGGCATGGGCCCTGACCAGGAATCGAACTGTAACCTCCTGGTTCATAGGTCAACGCTCAACCAGAGCCACACCAGCCATGCAAACTTACATTCTTTATAACACCCTGTTCCTCCTTCATAGCACTTACCCCATTCTAATCGTGAAATGACCTCTGTGTCTAACCCCAGGAAGGCAAGGACAGTGAGTCTTGTTCATCACTCAGTCCCCAAGGGCTAACAGAGGGGTGCACATCAAGTACCTTTGAATAAACGACTATTTTCTTTGTACCACCACTGCTCTTCCACCTCTGTTCTCTATACGAGGTAGGAAGGGGCTCTTTCAAAATTTAACAAAGGCCCTGCAGATGGAGAACCCGGACAGGAGGCAGCGTGACGGAACAGGGCACCTGTGGCTTGATGGCAAGATTGGGGAAAGTGGAACACTACTTACACTACCCACCTCCTCGTATCACAGACGCCTGCACATGAATGTGCTGCTTTCACTGTGTTATTGGGGTGGGGGAATAGATCGCTTTTAGTTGTCAGCTTCACCAATGTGTGCATCCCTGTAAAAAATAGAGTGGTTGTAACTTATTCTGGAAGTGTCCCTTAATGTAAAGAGAACCAGATTGGAAATCAAGACCTAGGTGTGACTGCTACTTTGTAGCTCCTTTGCCTTCGAACCCTAGAAAAGTCACTTATTCTTCCAGAGCATCTGTTTCCCTTTAAACAAAAAAAAATAATACATTCTTGTCTCAGAGGATTGGGAGGTTTCATGACAAATGTGAGAGTGCACAGCCATGTATGGCGTACAGCAAATGGCGTACAGCAAATGTTCTTAAAAGAGAACATCAGCCCAACGGGCAAAGCTGAGCCTGGGGGCAGAGTGGTCCCCAGCCAGTGGCTCTGGGGCAATCTGCCTCGCTGCTCTCATGCCGCTCTCTGACCTCAGTGCCCGGCCCCACTGGCTGCACTCCTGGCTCTCCAGTTCTGGTTTCCAGTTGCCACTGAAAGCTTTGCACACACAGCATTTTCAAGCTTACGGGTCAAGATGCAGAGTAGATGATTCTTTCTGTGAAGCAATTCTCAGAAGCCATTTAGTGCCCCATGGATGCCTCTCTGAACGACAGTCCCTCACCTCATCACTTAAGATTTTGTGTTAACTTAAAAATCTTCCACTCTAAAACATTCGTGTTTTCTAGCACGCTCAAAGTCGGACACAATGAAACCTCTCATCTCCTGTTTAACTCTGCCTCTTGTTATAAACAGCAGCTCAGATTCCTGAATTAACAACTCACCTTTACACACACACACACACACACACACACACACACACACCTGCCCTGCCAAGGTGGATCACTACCTTGAAACATGCACAGTACAGCCCATATAAGCACAGAAATGCTTCAAACTGTCAACAATTTTAACTAGTGGCCCAGTGCATGAATTTGTACACATTGAAATTAATTAGAAGGTGGCCAGTGGGGCAGGGCGAGATGGGCCGGACACACCCTGGAGCCAACCTCCCGTGGCCGGTGGTCCCACCGGCCGCACCTGGGGCTGCGCCATGGCTAAGGGCATCTGAGAAGTGAGCGGGGTCCCTCTAGCAGGTGGGGTCCCTCGGCCTGGCCTGCGGGGATCGGGCCGAAACCAGCTCTCCGACATCCCCCGAGGGGTCCTGGAGTGCGAGAGGGCACTCTGCAAAGTTGCTGTTGCTGGGCAGCTCCTGCATTGAGCGTCTGCCCCCTGGTGGTCAGTGCGCATCATATCTACCAGTCGCTTAGCCTTTTATATATAGAGATTATGTGTATACTGAAAAATGTTCTCAGCTACTGCAACAGGAACTATGGAGTAGGAAGTAGGATATCACAGATAAGGTCGGGTTGAATTCAGGGTTCTTGTAGGCTTTATGGTGTACTTCGCAAACAATATGAACATGGTTAAAATGGATAAAAACTTGACACCTAGAGGTTAGTAAAATTTTATTTGACCAAGAATAAAACCATCTACAAGTGGCTTTGACATTTAAAATCCATTTAATTTAAGCATCATAATTATTTACTATAAAGAATTTTTGTTTAAACTGTTTCTCATCTTCTACAAGAAGAAAAATTAAGTCTAGGGCAGAAGCAAATAAAACTTTTGTTTCTTGTAAAATATTCCAATTCCTTAAAATGCCAGAAATCATCTGCTGAAACTGAACTTCAACAAGGGCAGGATTTACCTCAAGGCCATGTTCATCTGCAACCTGTTAAAAAAGAAAAAGAAAAAAAAAAGATTTTTAAAAAGCCAGACCACTGTAGCCACAATTCCTGACACTGAGTAGTTAAAATAAAAGACATCAAAATCTATCACTTTATAACTCCGGAGTAGTTATTAACATAAGCTTTGGCTTCCATCAACAAAAGGGAAAGAGAATATGTGGAAAGAAAGCACAGAATCTTGTTATAAACTAACATGGGCTTAGTGATTCAGAATACTCAGAACACTTATTACCTGGGATTGGAAAGTTAATGAGACTTGGCATATAAAATGACATCGGTTTCTGATATAATTAAATTGCCTTTTATTTGGAAAAGTGTATGCTTAATAGTGACTTCCTGCAGGTTCAAATGATATGTAATCACTCGTACACATCCAATAAACTATTTCTGAAGCAGAGCAACTGCATGGGCATGTGGGTCTCTATCCAGGGAGGTTTAGCTACCAGAAAACTTCCTGGACCCACTCAATACTACATTACGGGAAAGGTCCTCTCCCCCTTTCTTAAACGTCCCCAATTTCTGGTCACTTCCTGTCAATGAGTACAGTAGATTCTGGGTTCCCCCTGCCTTCCACCCTTTCTAAGCTATAAACTTACCATTGCTATTTATAATATGACCATGGAAAGTGCATAATTGCTGTTGGTAGATCAGTAGGTCTCGAATTTATTTTGCAAACAAGACCTGTTCTATCTACCTTTCAATGTAGGAGGCTGAAAGCCGAGTCAGCTTGACTTCAAGGACTCTGTTTTCTTAGTCTCCAGAAGAACACGACCCAGTCCAGCTTTTAAAACACTGTCCTAGCCCTAACCGGTTTGGCTCAGTGGATAGAGCATCGGCCTGCAGACTCAAGGGTTCCAGGTTCGATTCTGGTCAAGGGCATGTACCTTGGTTGCGGGCACATCCCCAGTAGGGAGTGTGCAGGAGGCAGCTGATCGGTGTTTCTCTCTCATCGATGTTTCTAACTCTCTGTCCCTCTCCCTTCCTCTTTGTAAAAAAACAATATATTTTAAAAATAAATAAATAAATAAAACACTGTCCTAGCATGTTAGGATTTTAATGGAATGGCCATCTATCCTTTTCAAGCTTACTTAAGAGACCTGAACTCTCATATATACCTGCTTCCCTGCAATCAGTGGTTAATGAATCTAAATGCAAGATAAAGAATTTAGGATTTGGAAAGACAACTCCAGCCAGGCAGCATCTTTTCCTTGTAGTATGAACTTGGACTCTAATCTTGCTGCCCCTCATGCTCATTCCTAAGCCTAGATGTGAGATTCTCCTTTGAAAGGAGCGTAGGAGAAGCTGTTAGATTCAAACAGACTGGATTGGAGGCAAGAATATAATGCATCCACCGGGAAATATAATGCATCCACCAAACAAAATTGAGGTTTCCCCAGTGTGCTTTTTAATATATGTATTATTGATTTCAGAGAGGAAGGGAAAGGGAGAGAGAGCTAGAAACATCAATGATGAGAATTATTGATGGGCTGCCTCCTGCATGCCCTCTACTGGGGATCGAGTCCACAACCCAGGCAAGTGCCCGTGATTGAAATCGAACCAGGGACCCTTCAGTCCACAGGCTGACGATCTATCCACTGAGCCAAACCAGCTAGGGCTCCAGTGTGCTTTTTTTAAAAAAAAAAAAAAAAATGTTTTTTATTGATTTCAGCGAGGAAAGGAGAGGGAGAGAGATAGAAACGTCAATGATGAGAGAGAATCAGGGATCAGCTGCCTCCTGCACGCCCCACACTAGGGATCGAGCCCGCAACCCGGGCATGTGCCCTGACCGGGAATCGAACCCTGACCTCCTAGTTCATAGGTCAACAAGCCATGACAGCCAGGCACCCCGAGTGCTTTCTAACAAAGCAGGAACTTGGTTTTTAGAGACGGATTTACTGAGTATAAACATTTCTTCTTTGTAAACCTGTTCTACCACTCAGCCCCTGAGAAAGATTCCTACCCTTGCTCTTCCTTTCCATCCAGTTAAGGGGGGAGAGGGACGGTGAGATTTAAAAAAAAAAAAAAAAAAAAAAAAGAACAGGAGAAGCACTATCCAAAAGTAAGAATAGCGCTATGGAGAAAGGTATAAGATATCTGACATCGTCTTACGTACAATTTACAGGTTAGAAACCAGCCACAGACTCCCTAGGCACCAAGAATGGACCTCCTCTTCCTCGTCCAAATTAATGCGACAGATGCTGATGCCTCCAGAAGTCACAGGTTCAGAACATCTGGGTCCCTACGCCCCCCTCCCCCACCCCCCGTCACATCCCTTACGCGACACAGGGTATCCCCGACACGAAGCTCATCTACTGAACTTTTAAAATTAAACTTTACTCTGTGTACTTCTCCCTTCCACGCCTCTCCCCACCACCGCTACCGGCTCGTTTCTCAGAAGAGGGCGAGACAGCTGAGCACCATGAGTTAGGATGAGTTAGGACGCTCGCTGGTGTCGCCAACCCCTCCCCTAAACTCGGGGTCCCCGCCGCACCCCCTGAAACCCGCCCGCCTACGAGGACGCCGCTGTCACCCGCCCCGCCGAGTGGCCAGAGAGCGGCCTTACTCTACGCGACAGACGCAGGCAGCCCTCTGGCATCTGACCTCCATCACAAGCCCTGTTTCTTCACCGCGGGAAAGAGTCCTTCCCCGCTTCCGGGGCGTGGGGAGGAAGTCCCGCCCCACGCAACTGCGTGATGACGTAGAGGACCGAGGCGGCGCGCGGGCTTAGACGGAGTGAGGCGGAGCGCTCTTCCTGAGGTCGGGCAGTGTCACCCACGGGGCTTGGACAGAGGGACAGCGGACAGGAGGTCATGTTGCTGGGTGCGAGGCGTGGGGAGAGGGTCGGGAGCCCTTCAGCGGGGCCCGGCAGGGCGGCTTGGAGGCTCCATCGCCTCAAAACTCCCTCCTCCTCTCGGGGCCACCTCCCCTCAGCGGCCCGTTTTGTGCTTAGCTCCGCCTACCACTTGCTTTTAGTTTTTCTGTGTTTTGCGTATCCGTGTAGCCCCACAAGCTCCTGTAAGAATGCCCACCACTGCCCTGGCTGGTTTGGCTCAATGGATGGAGCGTCGGCCTGCGGACTGAAGGGTCCCGGGTTCGATTCTGGTCAAGGGCACATGCCTGGGTTGTGGGCTTGATCCCCAGTGGGGGCATGGAGGCAGCGGATCGGTGATTCTCTCATCATTGATGTTTCTATCTCTCTCTCCCTCTCTTCCCCTCTGAAATCAATAAAAAAAAAAAGAATGCCCACTACTGGCCGGTGTGCTCAGTGGTTAGAGCGCGAGCCCGCGCACCGAGGGGTCCACCGAGGGGTCGCGGGTTCGGTTCCTGGTCAAGGGCACCTGCCTGGGTTGCAGGTTCCATACCCTGGTTGGGGCGCGTGTGGGAGGCAACCAATCAAATGTGTCTCAGGTGGATGTTTCTCTCTCTCTCTTTCTTTCCCCCCACCCCTCGGGTGAGGATTAAACAAAAAAAAGAAAGCCCATCTCTTACTGACCATTGGCTGTGCAATCCTGTCAGCAGGCGCCCTAAGCGCCAGGTTATTCTGGACTCTTACTGCTGGCAGCTCACTCCTCCCTTTGCCAAGGGAGGGACTAGTATGTTAAGGGCAGAAATATACATAATATTGGGGACTAGCTATCCTCCTTCCTATATCATAAAAGGCTAATATGCAAATTGATGGAACAGGAACCACCAGTGGCTATGATGCGCACTGACCACCAGGGGGCAGATGCTCAACGCAGGAGCTGCCCCCTGGTGGTCCCTGTGCTCCCACAGGGGGAACTCCGCTCAGCCAGAAGCCAGGCTCATGGGCTGGTGAGGCAGTGGCTGGAGCATCTTGCCTCCGTGGCAGCACTAAGGACGTCCGACTGACGGCTCCCGAACTGTGAGAGGCGCAGGGCTGAGGGGACCCCCCCCCCCAAAGTGCACAAATTTCATGCACTGGGCCTCTGGTTAGTTATAAGAAATAAAATAAATATTAATCATGCCCTGTTAACCGTGATGGTTCTGTTCTGATTAAAGAAAGCACAGTCTAACCTGGGTGGGAGTTGCACGCCCTGGGACATGGGAGCTGACATGGGAATGCAGTCCATCCTCCTGTCCTGAGAACTGCCTGTCATTATGGAACGATTTATAGCCCCTGGGCTGAAACAATCTAGCCCAGCCGTGGGCAAACTACGGCCCGCGGGCCGGATCCGGCCCGTTTGAAATGAATAAAACTAAAAAAAAAAAAGACCGTACCCTTTTATGTAATGATGTTTACTTTGAATTTATATTAGTTCACACAAACACTCCATCCATGCTTTTGTTCCGGCCCTCCGGTCCAGTTTAAGAACCCATTGTGGCCCTCGAGTCAAAAAGTTTGCCCACCCCTGATCTAGCCCCAGAGGCACCAGTCCCTTTTGCCTGTAATCCGGTCCCAGGGGCCCGCAGGCACCTGCCCTCTGCAACCCCCACCCCCCAGCCCGCATGACTTGTAACCTGTCATGTTTATACGGTGCCAACTTTCCCATGTAATCTTTGTTCTTCTCCCCCATATAAGCAGCTGGCTTACAGAGAGAGGCAAGCAGATTTTTGTGGGTGACCTGCTGCTCTCCCACGCTGCCGGCAGTATTGGTATAAACACTCGTATTTGATTCAACCCTGTCTCTGCTTCATTGGCTCACGTAGTGACAGGCAGCCCGGACCCATTGGTTGTCTGGTTTCACATAGCACCTACGTAGCCGTCCACTCCACTGTGGGGCCAGGCAGACCGATTAGAAACATCATAGTCCTTGTTTTAGTTTCCTAAGGCTGTCACAAGCCGGGTGGCCTAAACAACAGATACTTGTTCTCTCACAGGTCTGGAGGCTAGAAATCCGAAAAGAAGGTGTTGGCAGGATCACTCTTCCTCTGCAACTGGGTAAATTCCATCCTTGCCTCCTGCTAGTTTCTGGTGGCGTCCAGCAATCCTTCACGTTCTTTGGCCTCTTCATTCTGTGCCTCTCCCTCTCTGTGTCTCTTCTCCTGAGAGGACACCAGTCCTGTTGGATCGAGGGCCCACTCTAATCCAGTATGACCTGGCCTTCACTAAGTACATCTACAGTGACCCTATCTATACTAATAAAAGCCTAGGTGGCCCTCGCGCACGACGTCGTCACAAGATGGCTGCCCAGATGGCCACGGCGCAAAGCGGAGGCGAGGCCCGGCAGCTGCACTGTGCAGTGAGGCCTGGGGGTCCCGAGACTCTGCGCGAAACAGAGGAGGCCGGTCCCAGCGGAGGAGGCTGGTCACAGCAGGGGAGGGTAGTAGGGGGTGATCCGGCTGGCAGGGGAGGGCAGTTGGGAGCCATCAGGCTGGCAGGGGAGCAGTTAGGTGTCAATCAGGCTGGCAGGGGAGGGCAGTTGGGAGCCATCAGGCTGGCAGGGGAGCAGTTAGGTGTCAATCAGGCTGGCAGGGGAGCAGGTAGGGGGTGATCAGGCTGGCAGGCAGAAGTGGTTAGGGGCAATCAGGCAGGCAGGCTAGGAGCCAGTGGTCCCGGATTGTGAGAGGGATGTCCGACTGCCGGTTTAAGTCCTGCAGGATCGGGCCTAAACCAGCAGTAGGATATCCCCCGAGGGGTCCCAGATTGGAGAGGGTGCAGGCCAGGCTGAGGGACAGCCCCCCATGCACGAATTTCTTGCATTGGGCCACTAGTTTCCAGATGAAGTCACATTCTGAGGTTCGAGGAGGACATGAATTTTTGGGGTGACACTGCCCAGCCCAGTACAGGTGTCAAGAACTTAAGAAGTAGGCAAGACAACAGTCAACAATAAATGGTTGTAGTGTAAGTGAATTCAAACGTTGTTCAATTGGATCTGAGAAGTTTTTGTGGACATTTGGGCTATTTCTTTGATAGGTGGGTAGGATTTGGATGTGCTATCATAGCATTCCAGGCAAACAAACGTCACAGACAAGGAAGCCCAGGTTGAGATGTAAAATGAGTTAAATAAGAAAATAATGTAAAATGAGGAGTAGCCCTAGCTGGTTTAGTTCAGTGGATAGGGTGTCAGCCTGCAGATTGAAAGGTCCCAGGTTTGATTCCGATCAAGGGCACATGCCCGGGTTGCAGGCTGGATCCCCAGTAGGAGGCGTGCAGGAGGCAGCTGATCAATGATTCTCATCATTGATGTTTCTATCTCTCCCTCTCCCTTCCTCTAGGACAGCGATTCTCAATCTCCCCCTCTCCCTTCCTCTAGGAAATCAATTAAAAAATTATTTAAAAAATAAAATGAGGAGTAAATCAGTATTTGGGTCGTGGAGGTGTACTTTGAAGGTTAATTAGCAGCTTAAGCCAAACCTACTTAGTGTTACTCTTCAGTCCTATAGTGTCTGCTCATGCTGTCCCTTATCCCTAGAACGCTGCCATCAAGCCACATAATTTTGACTTGTCAATTTTTCTGTGATGGAAGTTGTGCTATATATAGCATTGGGGTGGAGGGGAGTGTTGTTCAACTTATTTTATAACATTAACATCCCCTTACTACTAAAATCTAACAAAAATAGCACAAGAAAAAACTAGACACAAAACACATAGATACAAAGCTCTAAAATAAAATACTAACAAATTCATCCTGCATTCCGTCTGGAACAAGAAGGCATTGATCCCAGCAATGACATAACATTAGAAAATCTGTTGATGTAAATCATCGTATTAGCAATTAAGAGATTTTATTTTTTTTAAATATATTTTATTGATTTTTTACAGAGAGGAAGGGAGAGAGATAGAGAGTTAGAAACATCGATGAGAGAGAAACATCGATCAGCTGCCTCCTGCACATCTCCTACTGGGGATGTGCCCGAAACCCAGGTACATGCCCTTGACCGGAATCGAACCTGGGACTTTTCAGTCCGCAGGCCGACGCTCTATCCACTGAGCCAAACCGGTTTTGGCGTGAGAGATTTTAAACTATATGGTCATTTCAACTGATAAAGTGTTTTCTGAAAAAATTCAATACTCATTTAAAAGAAAACAGCAGCCGAAACCGGTTTGGCTCAGTGGATAGAGCATCGGCCTGCGGACTGAAGAGTCCCAGGTTCGATTCTGGTCAAGGGCATGTACCTGGGTTGCAGGCTCCTCCCCGGCCTGGGCCCTGGTTAGGGCTTGTGCAGGAGGCAACCAATCGATGTGCTTCTCTCACATCGAGATTTCTCTCTGTCTTATCCTCTCTCTTAAAAAATCAATAAAATATTTTTTAAAAAATAAAATAAAAGAAAAGAAAAATAAAAGAAAACAGCAAAATGAGAATAGATAAATAGCAACTTGATAAAAGGTAGAAACGTATATACTGAACAAAAGATGTAGAATACTTTTAGGGAAATAGGAAATATTATTGAAAGGTATTGAAAACTCAAGTAAATGTAGATTTCTGTTCCAGAATGAGAAAATCCAGTGTTTAAAAGATAGCACTGTATCACCGAATAATAAACATTTTGATATGGTGCTTTTTATTATTTTTTAAATTTTTTAAATATATTTTTTATTGATTTCAGAGAGGAAGAGAGAGGGAGAGGGAGATAGAAGCAACAATGTTGAGAGAGGATCATGGATCAGCTGCCTCCTACACGCCCCACACTGGAGATCAAGCCCGGAACCCAGGCATGTGCCCTGACCGGGAATTGAACCGTGACCTCCTGGTTCATAGGTCGATGCT